AGTGTCCTGTTCAGTTGATGTAGATTTAGAACATGTCACTGAGAAGTGTTAGAAAGCGGAACAGATAAAATTATTTGCATGAATAATTATTCATTTTGTTGTGTTGAAAAAGTAAGCAGATTCGTTTTCAAAACGTCCAAAGCGTTCAAATCTGTTTTTCGTTTGTGCTCACATGGTCACATTCATCATAAGAAACTGCTCAGAACTGTTCGAGTAATTGCCGTCAGGTAGGGCGACGTGTTATTCTCTATCGCGAATAGTGAAATTTTTAAACGCATTGTCATTTTGGAACAGCGTGATCAATCAATAATAGTAAACAACCTTTTCGATATATAACATTGAACTCCATGATACAATATGAAAAAAACAGATAAAAATTTGTTGATGGAATGAAATCACTCCAAATTCTATTCAAAATTGCAGTGTGCTATTCATCGCCCTGAAAATTTCAGGTATCCTACTTCGATTGCGGCATGGTAGGTAGACAAGAAGAGAATCATAGAACCTCTCTATATTTTGATATTGTCACGTTGAAAGCACTGAAACGAAAGATTTTCCATGTGGAATATATTTATAATTTGATACCTTCCTTCAATTTTTTTGTTTTGTATATCGCTACTTCAAAGTTGGACACCAACTCCCCAGAAGTCGAACTTGTGCGGGGTTAGGAAGAGCTTATAGTGGAATCCGAACTACTTCTGGGGCATCGAGGTGCTGCCAGAATTACAACAATGAATCACACATTTTGAAGAGAAATGCTCAGCCGATAGCCGGATTCGAAACGACAGTACTTTCGCATCGTTAACGGCTATCTAAGCGAATTTCAGCGCATAGACAAACTCGGCTACGGCGCCATGTTGGTATTTTTTCTAGCAATTAATGAACATTTTTTATATCTGAGAACCCTAATTATGTTAGGGGGGGGGGCAAGATGCGAAGTTACGCCACTGCAGAGAGGTTATTACTCTCTCTCCTCTGCGGCGCAACTTCCAGGTCACATGTCCGCATCTATTCGGCCTCCATCTCCATCTCTTCTAGCGCACCGGCTCATTTTCATAGCGAAATGTTTTCATAATTCGCCGACCGGTGGTGGATTTATCTAACGAATTCATCTAGCTAGCTCTACGGCGTTTCTTTCTGCACGGACCTGAATGGGTATCAGGTATCCGTTGATGAACAGATAAGCTCTGGTACAGAGAGGAATTTCTCATTTGACATTTTTTGCGTTGTGCAAGAAGTGTACATGTTCGTCTCTGCTTGAGTATTTAAATCATGAAATAACTGAAATGAAAGTGCGTGGTATTCGAAATGATCATCACTGATGAACAGATAATTCCTTCACCTTTCGAATGAGGTGTCACTCGACCATACTCATGATTTGATGTTTCAATGTTGATAGTGATTTTTATCCAAAAGGAAAATGCTCCTAACTTCAAATCATCATAGCCACTGCACAGATAATTCTATTACCTTTCAAATGAGTGGTTACTCGACCATACTCATGATTTGATGTTTCAATGTTGATAGTGATTTTTATCCAAAATGAAAATGCTCGTAACTCTAAATTATCATACCCACTGTACAGATAATTCAATTACCTTTCAAACGAGTGGTTACTCGACCATACTTTCAATGAAAATGTCAAAGTTGAGAGAGACCCATAACCGGAATGAAAATACTCGTACTCCAAATAATCATATTCGCTGCACAAATGATAAAATCTGTTTTATGAGATGTCACTCGACATAGGTACTCAAAGTTCGGCTTGGTTATTTAAATCATAAAATAACTGAAATGAAAGTGCGTGGTATTCAAAATGATCATCGCCGATGAACAGATAATTCCTTCACCTCTCAAATGAGGTGTCACTCGACCATACTAATGATTTGATATTTCAATGTTGACAGTAATTTTTAGACGAAACGAAAATGCTCGGAACTCAATTATCATAGCCACTGCACAGATAATTCTATTACCTTTCAAATGAGTGGTTACTCGACCATACTTTTATTGAAAATGTCAAAGTTGAAAGCGACCCATAACCGGAATGAAAACACTCGTACTCCAAATATAACATCTGTTTTGTGAGATGTCACTCGACATAGGTACTCATAGTTTGAAATTTGAAAGTTGATAGTTTGGAAATCGGCCATTTTCATAGCGAAATGTTTTCATAATTCGCCGACCGGTGGTGGATTTATCTAACGAATTCATCTAGCTCTACGGCGTTTCTTTCTACACGGACCTGAATGGGTATCAGATATCCGTTGATGAACAGATAAGCTCTGATACAGAGAGGACTTTCTCATTGGACATTTTTTGCGTTGTGCAAGAAGTGTACATGTTCGTCTCGGCTATTTAAATCATAAACTAACTGAAATGAAAGTGCGTGGTATTCGAAATGATCATCACCGATGAACAGAGAATTCCTTCACCTTTCAAATGAGGTGTCACTCGACCATACTCATGATTCGATATTCCAATGTTGATAGTGATTTTCATCCAGAATGAAAATGCTCGTAACTCTAAATTATCATAGCCACTGCGCAGATAATTCGATTACCTTTCAAATGAGTGGTTACTCGACCATACTTTCAATAAAAATGTCAAAGTTGAGAATGACCCATAACCGGAATGAAAACACTCGTACTCCAAATAATCATATACGCACACATTATGATAACATCTGTTTTGTGAGATGTCACTCGACATAGGTACTCATAGTTTGAAATTCAAATGTTGATAGTTTGAAAATCGCTCATTTTCGTAGCGAAATATTTTCATAATTCGCCGACCGGTGGTGGATTTATCTAACGAATTCATCTAGCTCTACGGCGTTTCTTTCTGCACGGACCTGAATGGGTATCAGGTATCCGTTGATGAACAGATAAGCTCTGGTACATAGAGGAATTTCTCATCGGACATTTTTTGCGTTGTGCAAGAAGTGTACATGTTCGTCTCGGCTTGGATATTTAAATCATAAAATAACTGAAATGAAAGTGCGTGGTATTCGAAATGATCATCGCCGATGAACAGATAATTCCGTCACCTTTCGAATGAGGTGTCACTCGACCATACTCATGATTTGATATTTCAATGTTGATAGTGATTTGTATCCAAAATTAAAAAGCTCGTAACCCTAAATTATCATAGCCACTGTACAGATAATTCTATTACCTTTCAAATGAGTGGTTACTCGACCATACTTTTAATAAAGATGTCAAAGTTGAGAGTGACCCATAACCGGAATGAAAATACTCGTACTCCAAATAATTATATACGCACACATTATGATAACATCTGTTTTGTGAGATGTCACTCGACAAAGGTACTCATAGTTTGGAATTTAAATGTTGATAGTTTGAGAATCGCTCATTTTCGTAGCGAATTGATCTAGCTCTATGGCGTTTCTTTCTGCACGGAACTGAATAAGTATCAGGTATCCGTTGATGAACAGAAAAGCTCTGATACAGAGAGGACTTTCTCATTGGACATTTTTTGCGTTGTGCAAGAAGTGTACATGTTCTTCTCGGCTATTTAAATCATAAACTAACTGAAATGAAAGTGCGTGGTATTCGAAATGATCATCACCGATGAACAGAGAATTCCTTCACCTTTCAAATGAGGTGTCACTCGACCATACTCATGATTCGATATTCCAATGTTGATAGTGATTTTTATCCAAGATGAAAATGCACGTAACTCTAAAGTATCATAGCCACTGCACAGATAATTTCATTACCTCTCAAACGAGTGGTTACTCGACCATACTCCTAATTAAAATGTTTAAGTTGATAGTGACCCATTACTGGAATGAAAGTACTCGTACATGAGTCGTACTCGCCAAGCTATCATATACAGGGTGTTAACAAATAAGTGTCACAACGGAAAACTGTAGATTGCTCATGAAAAAAGAAACATTTTTTCACTTTCGAAATTTTTCTCCGGGCTTCCGGTATAAAGATACAGGACGTCAAAAAAATATAAAAAAATCTGTTTTTTGCTGCTATCTCAGGAACCGTCTGAGCTACGGAGTTGAGCCTTCGTACACACTTTATCATCAATAATGACTACTTTTAGGGCTCTTGATCAATTTCCTTGGACATGTCAGTGGAGGAGAATTCAACGCCTCATAAGGGTTTAACCCCCCAAACATTTATGCCACTGGAGAAATTGTAATTTTCAAAGTAGATTCTGAAGCGCCAATAGCTTTCACACAAAAAACGTCCTCTTGTCTCAATGCTCTAAAGTGAACAGTTACCGAGAAAAATGGCTCTTTATGAATAAGAACATACAAAATCTCTAAAAATCGTCTGAAAATCCACTAGAAATAAACACCTCAGAACTGCCTAATAATATGTTCAATCAAATGTCACGTTCTTGAGTATGTTGGTCTCGATGCTGGTTTTCGAATTGTTAAGTTTGTTAAGTGTTGTAAAGTGTGTTTAATTAAACTGAACATTTTTGATTTTTTGACGCCCTGTATCTTGAAAACGGAAGCCCGGAGAAAATTTTTGAAGAGGAAAGAAATGTTTCTTTTATTATGAGTAATCTACAGTTCTCCGTTGTGACACTTATTTGTTAACACCCTGTATACGCTGCACAGATATCGATATTGATAATGCCTCATATCCGGAATGAAACTGCTCATTCTCATTGCTAATCTCACGCCGACCGTTGTGCAAGTATGCATCTAGGTCTTTGCTTTGGTATTTAAATCATATTATATCAAAAATGAAGGATTCCGAGGAATTAGTGAGTGTGGCATCACCAACCAGTTGACAGCGTTTACCTGCCTTCATTATGAGTTAGTAGTTTCCTGAGATGAAATGGGAATTTGGGAAGAGAATGCAGTAATAATTGATCCTTCTAATAATTCATTCAACATTTGATTACTTCATTTTCATATCCAGTAGTAGACGTATCAAGAGGGACACTCACTCATATGAACATTGACTCACTTGTTGATGTCGGTCATTTTATCGTTACAATTTTTCCAGATTATTTGATGAGTTCCGGGTCCCCGCCTACCCGCGACAAATTGCGTGGGGGCGACAAGGCTCGCGTCAGGAGAGATTGGAGAAACGAAAGACTCAGGGATATCGCGACAGCCCTCACTGACAGGTCACCGGAATCGAGTCTGGCGCTGCCCGCCGAAGGTCTGTTGCACCTCAAAAAGGTCAGTACGAAAAAGGGGTGATGGTAAATTCGGTCCCAACAGGTAGCAGATGGTCTTACCAAGGTGGATAGAATATTAACTCTTTATTTTTGGACATTTATGCATCACAGTCTCTAGGCTTAAGAATTATGATATGACAATTGACAATCCATCAAGAGATCCGTCAGTAGATAGGTACAAAAGCAAATTCTATACACCAGAGGTAAAATGTAGTCTCCTTTTTTTTTCTTCACCAAAACTATTAGGGTTCCTTCTTCCAGGCTCATGATTTTTTGATATTTGCTATCAAATGTAATCAAAGTGTTGAAAAGGAATATTCTCAGAACAATTATGAACATACAAATATGGATATTTATTTATATGAAGCAATACATTGAAAATTCGCATTCTCTATGTGATGAGAATATCTACTCTTTTTCAGTTTATTCAATGGAAAACAACTACTTTCCTGGCTATATGTCACGACGAACATTGAATTATATCTATTGAACACACACGATAGGAGTTTGAAAATACAATATAAAAACTTCTGAAATTGAGAATTTGCATTCTCCTTCAGACAAAAATATGTATATGCACACATCATTCTGAAGGAGAATGCAAATGCTCAATTTCAGAAGTTTTTATATTTTATTATCAAACTCTTATCGTGTGTGTTCAATAGATATAATTCAATGTTCGTCGTGGCATATAGCCAGGAATGTAGTTTGTTGTTTTCTATTTTATAAACTGAAAAAGAGTAGATATTCTCATCACATAGAGAATGCGAATTCTCAATGTATTGCTTCATATAAATATATATCCATTTTTGTATGTTCATAATTTTTCTGAGGATATTCCTTTTCAACACTTTCATACCCAATCAGGGGGTTCAAACTTGAACGATGGAAACTTGTGATTTTTATAGACCTCTAATCGCAGATTCATGATTGAGTCTCAATTCAGAATTTCTTTCCACGCCCTGTATGATGAATGTCAATTTATCATACACCCAAAAGCAAATGTAATCAAATTATCAGAATGATGTAATCAAACACAGCACAGAATGGCACTGATTTTTTGGTGAAAAACACGAAAATGAAAGTCATTTGTGATTGTCAAATATGTTGACAGGTCTACACATGCGCATTTCTTTTGTGGTCTCAATCATAAGCATACAAATTGAAAGTTTGTAACTTTCAAGGTCATGATTTGATGATTATGATTAAGACTGATACTAAAAATGTTGCATGAATTCACCTATTGAAATGTATGCTCATAACTTGATTTTATGATAAAAACAAAGACAGTGACTAAGACTAAGACTGAGACAATGATGCATAAATAGGCCCTGAATTGAAAATTTTCTACCCTTTTATCGGTGATTAAATTCGGTCCCAAACATGTCAATTGCCTAGGGTTCTACAATACTTGCCTGCATAATCGATTTAGGTCACATTGTTAAGAAAAAATAGTCTCCTTCTTATGCAGAAAGGATATTTTCCTTCCTCATATTATAACCTACTTATATACCTATATAATATATTAGGTCGAGTTAGGTCAGATTGTTTGGAAAAAGTAGTCCTTTCTTATGTTATTATTTTCTGAGCCCCTCACAAAACAATTTACCTGGGACCGAATTTACCTCCCAATGATTTTTGGGAAAAACCGAATAATCGCGATTTCATTTTTATTTTTTATGGATCTATTTGAATAGTTGTAATAGTAATAATAATAACAAATTAGACATTCTCATTGCTACTTCTTCTGTTCTACAAGATGGTGTTATCAGATTTTCAAACCGACATTTCGTCTTTGAGCTGCTATCTTCAACTTTGTTATTTTTTAAATACGGCCCTGTATTTTTATTATGGATTTTATTCAGAAAATTCATAATAATGGTATTTTCCGTGAGAACCCATGTGTTAGAGAAAGACAGAGGGAATAGATCTTTGATAGGGATTAAAACAATCACATTTTTCGAGAACAGAACACTCTTAAATCGAAAATAAACACTTTCAGATTTCAGATTGATAATGAACACATTCAAAATAAAAATAGCCACATTTATATTGATTGAAAATTTCACATTGGAAATACACACATTGGAATCCCAAAATATTCTTTTTTAAATGAAGATAAATATTCGAAATGAGAGTAGACATATTTACATTTAATCAACACATTTACATTCAAATCGAGAATAAACATTATACACAACTTTGAATGCAAATTTTAATTGCCAGAAAAAAAATCAGTGGCTCAAACATGTTGAACATTCTTTGGGCTATTTTTTTATTCCTGATTCAAATTTGTTTTATCAATTTATCAATTTGAATGATTCTGAATATTTTAATCAGTCAGTTAGTGAATTTGTTTATCATAAAACCTTTAGTCAGATAATATAGAAGACTGAGACTATCAGAACAAACAATAACAAACAATTATTATCAATCTTTATACAACTGGCGCCCTGTCTAAACAGGATAGATAAGTATTACCTGACAATGCCTTCTCTGAAATATATTATTCCAGTACAAAATGTTTGTTCATTTCTCATTTATAATCGTTCTGGCGTGGCAACCAGTAATAGCAATTATTTGTTTACCTTACATGTTCTTCAAAGCATCAATTATTTATCATTTTTTGTAATTATGTCTATGAATTTTGATGCCCTTGTCTAGTTTATGTATTTTAGAATCAACCAGACGTCTAAAAAAGGGACGGTAATGACTACAAAATTACGTCTCCTAAGGTGAAATAATAATTGTTATTTAAAGAAAGTGGAGATTTTCTGGATTCTTTGTTTCACTTATTCTTTAGAGAGAAACTACACGAATTATTGAAAGCTTGATAAAATATGAAACACAGAAACAATTGCGATAGTTATATAAAACAATAAAATTTTTATAGTGAAGGATCAAGTAATAACATGACTTTCAGTATTGAAGTATAAACATTTTCGAATTATTGTAGTAATTTTGAAGGGAACAATACATCATTATTAAAGTATATACGTCACTATACGATAGATTGCTGAATTGTTACTGTCAACGTAATAAAATTATGGTGGTATTTAGAAAACCGTTAAGTAATGAACCATGTTTACCATGGGGAATTATTCAATCCATAAATGATCATATACAGGGTGTCACTCTCAAACAAATTTCATGAAGAGAAGAAGCCACTGAGGGGAATTTGAAATGACTGGTGCAATTCTGTTTATCTGATAATTTTGTATATGTACCGTCGATATTTGATGATAAATGAATCACAAAACTTACTTTGCTTTCTTCAAACGAGAAAAATCGTCATGAAGATAGGAAGGTTTAGATCTCAAAGAAAAGATTTATTTTATTTCCTCTACGGAAAAGACCTCACATTCTAAGGACAGTGTCGAAATCTGTAAAGAATAGTGAGTTACAGATATCCTAACCTGACACTTCACAGGTATGTAGAAATTTGGTCCAGTTCTGGTTTGAAGGCTTGCTTTTGTCTATAAAATGCCTGTTCAAAGTATTGAAAATATCAAATAATCCCAGTAAGACGCAACACAATGAAGTATACGAATACGTGAGATATAATTTATCAATGCACGTACACACGTTTATGGTTAAAATAGAAATACATTAAAAATAAATTCATTTGTACTTTTTCTGATTGAAATAGGAGATGGTAAATAATAAGTTATGGATATTCGTTTTTAATATCTCACTGAGTGAGCAGTAAAGTACAAGAATTTTTGCAAAAAAGGGGTAGGTACTGTCCCGTGGACTAGATTCAGTTGAGGCCCAAAGATATAAGTTCAGCGTTGCCAGCCCAGCAACTCAAAATGTACTGAAAAATCACCGAAAAAAGTACTAGTTTTCCGAGAAAAGTACTAGTTTGGATTTCCATTTAAACTTCCTACTATTGAGTAGGGATAGGTGGGGGGTATAGACAAGGAAAAAATAATGAGAACTCATTCACTGAATATTGTGAATATCTCATTTATCATTATCATTTTTCAAAACATTCCAAAACAATCAATTGTCATTCTGTCATTCATTTTTATTCATAATCATAACTTTGAGCAACGAGAAGACAATTGACAAATGACAATAAACAATATTGACATGTAATATGAGCTATATTCCGAATTCAACTGACAGTACTGAATCTGCTGATTTTTCATTCCGAAATCACTACTATTCATTCTATTTATTCCAAATATTTCGACTCAATATTCTGCTGAAATTACTGACTATTGACTGACTATCAAAAGGTAGTGTGGCTTCAGTGAAACATTTATCTCCGTTGTTTTTCAAACATCAAGTCTTGTCTTATCGATAATAAATTAAGAATATCATTTTCAATATCAGAAAATGCCTGTATTTAAATAATTGGCCAGATAAACTTGAAACTATAGAAGTGACAACCTGAAAAACTGACAAATTTCACCAGCTTACCAACTGCTGCTGATTACTGATGAAATCGTGTCCCGAATTAGAGCACTGCATCTTTGATTTTATATTTCGGAACACAGATTTTCAGCAGAGTCAGTGAATCTACTGACAGTGCTGACAAGTTGAAATCGGAATATAGCCATGAACTGTACAGAACTGTATAGTACAGTAGTACAGATCAGACAGATATGAGACATAACGACGAAACTTTGAATGGAAGACAATAATGACATTTCACTGATATTGCACATTGAAGGCTATATTCCGAATTCAACTGACAGTACTGAATCTGCTGATTTTTCATTCCGAAATCAAAAAATTCACTGGAAGTGAAAGATGCTTGTGAGCAGACATACTATTCATTCCAAAAATTTCGACTTAACATTCTGCTGAAATTGCTGAGTATCAGAAGGTAGTGTGGCTTCAGTGAACTGTCATTATTTTAGAGGGGGAATGAATGTAACATTCATTTCCGTTGTTAATAATATTGTTCTCAATATCAGAATATACCTATTATTGAAATAATAAGCGCCGAGAATAATATTGAGGATGAAGTAGTAGATGTAACAAAAGAAGAAGCAGCATTGGCTAAATAAATAACTAAATAAACCTGAAATGTCTCCTAAATTCACCATCATTACGTTTCCTTTCCTATAAATCTTTCAATTCTCAATCTGGTGCATCATGAGAAATTAATGGCAACAAAATGTCCAAGTATTCTTTATCACTCTAGCCTGAATCGTCATCGTCAATAAACGTAGAAACTATGGAGGCTACAAGAATCGATTGCTCTTCCATGTTAAATATTAAATATCTAGTCCAGATAAACGAGAAACTACAGACTGACAAATTTCACCAGCTGATCAACTGCTGCTGACTACTGATTAAAACCATGAAAACGTGTCCCGAATTACAGCACTGTATTTTTGATTTTATATTTGGGAACACAGATTTTCAGCAGATTCAGTGGGTCTACTGATAGTACTGACCAGTTGAATTCGGAATATAGCCGAAGTATCCTTCGGTTCTGGATATTTCAAGTCAAAACAGAGTGAAAAGGTACTAGGTCTCGCAACGCTGTATAAGTTTCGCTCGTTTTCCAGGGTTGGCTGTGGATGAAAACGTCCAACTCCGATTGGGCGCGCCGTTGGATAGTGCTCTGCTGCCCCACCACGCCCACCCTCCAGATAGATAGATAGATAGATAGATAAATTTATTTCAACAGAGTATTCTATAATCATTCACAAAAGTGGCAGAATATTTTTGTCTGAGAAATACGTCAAGAAGAACTTTTAGAATTATCAATAGGTTAATACATGAATTTAAAAATGATATGAAACATTCACATGAGTTTATGGATATAAGTTTCAAACACTATTAAAACAATTTAAAATAAGTGACAAATTTCACATGTAGATTTAAACAGACATAAGTACATAACTTTTCAATAAATACATATATACACATAGATAGCATGGTTTCGAATAAAAATTTCATTCATGGGTTCCTACAGGCCAGAAAATATTCCTCGATACTGTAGGGCTCTAAGTTGCATAGAAATTCCTTAACAGACCTCAGAAATCTGTCAGCAACCACAATATCTTTTACATCTTGTGGGAGGTTATTATAAAATTTCATTGCACTATAGATAGTACTGCGTTCATAAATGCATTTTGCATGGATGGGATATGAGAAGCCTTTCTTTTGTCTTGTATCATAGATATGTGTTTTCCGATGTGTGTCGAAATGTTCTGGATGATTGATAATGAATTTAATAAGCTCAAAGATATAAATTGCTGATACAGTCAGGAGTTTTTTTGACTTGAAAATTCCTCTACAGGAATCTCTTCTATCTATATTGTAAAGTATCCTGATAATTTTTTTCTGACATAGAAACACTCTGTTCAGCCCATGACTTGAGCCCCAGATGATTATTCCTAGTCTCATAGCAGAGAAAAAATTTGCATAATATACTGTTATCAGTGCTTCATGGTCAACATTTTTTTTCAGAACTCTCATGGCATATGTTATCGAGGATAGTTTATTACATAGATTGTCTATTTGACTAGTCCAACTTAAAGTGTCGTCAATGTATATACCTAGAAACTTGACTGAAGTGTTACAAATAATCTTTTGATTGTCTATAATTATGTTTTTTGGTGTTTCTATATTGTTGTTCATTTTGAACATGATACAATCTGTTTTTCCATCGTTCAAAACTAACTTATTCTCTTGAAAATATTTTTTGGATTGTTCTATTATTTTGCTACCATTTTTTATGATATCTGGTAAGTTTGTACCTGTCACTAGAAGATTAGTATCATCAGCAAAGTTAATCATGTGGGCAGTGTTTATGTCTGCTATAACCTTATTGATATCATTGATAAATATAATAAACAATATTGGACCGAGGATACTACCCTGAGGGACCCCCATAGACACACCAAAAGCCTCTGATCTAACCGTGTTATCTTTTTGATTTAGTTCTACTATTTGTTTCCTATTTTTCAGATATGAATTGAGCCAGTTGTACGAGTTTCCTCGAATTCCATATTTATAAAGTTTCCGTAATAAAATGTCATGATCTATACAATCAAAGGCCTTTGACAAGTCCATGAAGATCCCACAGGAAAGATCTCCCCTGTCCATTGCTTCCAAGACTTCGTTGCTGAAATATACCAGAGCAGTTTCAATAGACTTATTTTTCAGATAGCCATGCTGGTTATTAGAAAAGATTTTGTAGTTGACACAGAATTTCAATAATCGGTTAGCCATTGCTATTTCGATAATTTTTGATATGCATGTCAATAGGCTAATTGGCCTGAAGTTAGACATGTCCGTCTTATTTCCTTTTTTGTGGAGTGGTTTCACTATCGCTATCTTCAGTTCATCTGGAAAAACTCCTTCCTCGAATGATTTATTGATAATGAAAGTCAGAATACATACAATCTCTTGGGCACAACTCTTCAATATGTGTATGGGTACTTCATCAATACCTGTGCTTTTCTTGTTCTTCATATTGTTTATAATTGAGAGTAACTCATATTCCGTGACAGGGTACAAGAACAGAGTGTGATTGTGAAAGGCTATATCTCTTCCAAAACCACTTTCTTTACCCATATCTTTATGTGTTGACAAGAGTTCAGGAGCGGAGTTTATGAAGTATTCATTGAAGCTGTTGGCTACCTCTATGGGCTTATCGAATTGAAATTGCTCGGATTGAGATGTACCTGTGAGTTCTTTAATTATCTGCCACATTGTTTTGGATTTATTATCCGACTCAACGATTCTATTTCTGTAGTAGGATTTTTTAGTTGATTCCAAGAGATTGTTATAGTCCTTTTTCAACTGTTTATATGCGATTCTATAGTCTGGATCGATTTTAGAAATTGACTGATAAAAAATCAGTTGATTCTTCATTTGTGTAATCTCAGGTGAATTGAAAATCTTTTTCCCTGAAGGTTTCCGGTTTTTACATGTTTTCGGAAAGTGCAAGTCGAAGTGGAATTTAAAGGTTTCACTGAAGTTTGAGAAAGCTTCATTCAAATCATTCGCGCTGTATACATTCATCCAGTTCTCGGACTTTAGTTTAGTGCAAAATTCATCTATTGATTTGGAGTTATAATTGCGTCTCTCTATTTTCTTTATTGATTCGCATTTTTGTAGGTTACAAAGTAGCACTTGCCCCAAGTGATCAGATATTCCAGTTTCAAAAACTATACCTTTTTTATTACCTTCAAAATTTGTAATTATGTTATCTAGACAGGAACTGGAGTGGATAGTAACCCTCGTTGGTTCGTAAATGGTTAAGACAGAATTATAAGTTGCTAACAGATTTTTGAAGTCTTTACAGGTATTACTTTCGGGACAAGAAGTGTCTATGTTAAAATCACCTGCTATAAAATATATACAGTTTTTTTCATATAAGATATCTAACATGCTCTGAAATTTAGTTAAAAACGATTTTACTTCACTTGATGGAGACCTATAGATGCAGACTACGTTGAACTTTGACTCGCCCATTCTGCAGGATGCACTGGAGCACTCAAAAACATAGTCTTCAGCTAAGACATTTACTTCGTCAATGGGACTGCTAACAATCTCCTTGGATGCATATACAACTGATCCTCCATGTTGGCCTTCCTTTCTGCAATGACTAGAAACTTGATTGTGATCTTTGAAGGTGTAGTTCTTTAGATTATGTTGTGATTGCCAGTGTTCTGTGATGCAGACTACTGGGCATTTCCGGTCTTCAATGACTTTTTGCATCATGTTGAGGCTATTTCCCAAAGACTGAACATTTTGATGTATTAGAAAATTTTTCATCTGAGGGTGTTGTGTATTTGCTTCCTTCCTAAAAAAGTCGCAGGCTGGTTTGGATTGTCACTTTTTGTGTTTTGGTGTTCTAGGAGATGATTGCCTCTCCTAAAGTTGAATCGCTGAAATCCAATGTTTTTTGGCCAGAAACTAGGATCATATACCTTCTCTTTCAGACTCTGTGCTACCCCTATCATAAATGATTGGTTATTACGCCTTGTACTTAGTGTCAGTAGTTTTTTTACTTCGATTTCATTTTCATCTGGCAATTGTTCTGTTTGTGTTTCTATATGTTTCTTTATGTTTTCTTCCTTTATGTTATCAGGTACTTTAGTTATGAATAACCATATCTTTTTGTCTTTATCATTATGTCCATGAAAATTACTGTCACCTTCGCCTCTGCCGATGTTTATTGTATTTTTATTTTTACGTCTCCTACTTACCACCTCTTGAAAACCATCATTGCTATCGTTTTCATCATTCATATTGATGATATTCGTCATGAGATTCTTCTGTTTATTTTCTAGAGCAGTTATTTGATTTTGAGTTCGTGGATTATGTTCAATTTTTGAATCGTTGCTTGGGACACCCTGTATATTGTGAAGACTTTCAATGTTTGATTCATCATTGTGTTGCTGGATGTGTTTTTCAGGGTTACTTCTTTTGGACGTTTTTTTGGATATAGCGTCTTTATAAACGGATTCTTCATTTTTTGTTGGGATTGTGATATTGTTTTTCATGATTTGGGTTGGTTTATCTTGCCTTAATTTGTCTTCCAAAAATGCAATTTTCTCTTGCAGTAAAATAATTACTTGTTCCTTGTCAGCAATTATGGATTCCTTATCAGCAGAAATTTGCCTGAGTAATTTATTTTCTTCTCTCAGGAATTCTTCTTCAGATAAATAAGGTGTGTCGTCAGCTTGTTTATCAGGTTCATGTTTACATTCCGCTCTTTTTTGGTCACTAGACTGCTTGAGACACTTTGGATGGAAGTAGTCACTACATTTAATGCACTTCACTTTGTTCACTACTTTTTTTGAGCAATGTTTACAATTGAAATTCTCGTTTTCTTTGGGAGCCGGCGACGAACAACCTGCTCGACCCGCCATCGCGACTGTATGTTCCAGATATACCGGGACCAGGACGAGCAGAGCGCGCCCGAACTGAGCGTCGAGCTGTCCTCGGTGACGGACTGCGTCGAGGTGCCCACCGAGTCCAAGTACGGCTTCGAGGTCCGGTGGGCGGGGCCCACGTTGACATTGAGCGCTTTGGCGCAGGGCATCAGGTCCAACTGGTTACAGGTGAGATTGTTCAAGTAACTTAAATAGTTGATGCTCTGTATATCTGATAATGATAGTTAGTCAGTTGTTAATCTGTACTTTGATTTGATTTTTTGTTTGTTTGTTTGTTTGTTTGTTTGTTTAATTGTTTGTTTGTTTGTTTGTTTGTTTGTTTGTTTGTTTCTTTGTTTCTTTGTTTCTTTGTTTCTTTGTTTCTTTGTTTCTTTGTTTCTTTGTTTCTTTGTTTCTTTGTTTCTTTGTTTCTTTGTTTCTTTGTTTCTTTGTTTCTTTGTTTCTTTGTTTCTTTGTTTCTTTGTTTCTTTGTTTCTTTGTTTCTTTGTTTCTTTGTTTCTTTGTTTCTTTGTTTCTTTGTTTCTTTGTTTCTTTGTTTCTTTGTTTCTTTGTTTCTTTGTTTCTTTGTTTCTTTGTTTCTTTGTTTCTTTGTTTCTTTGTTTCTTTGTTTCTTTGTTTCTTTGTTTCTTTGTTTCTTTGTTTCTTTGTTTCTTTGTTTCTTTGTTTCTTTGTTTCTTTGTTTCTTTGTTTCTTTGTTTCTTTGTTTCTTTGTTTCTTTGTTTCTTTGTTTCTTTGTTTCTTTGTTTCTTTGTTTCTTTGTTTCTTTGTTTCTTTGTTTCTTTGTTTCTTTGTTTCTTTGTTTCTTTGTTTCTTTGTTTCTTTGTTTCTTTGTTTCTTTGTTTCTTTGTTTCTTTGTTTCTTTGTTTCTTTGTTTCTTTGTTTCTTTGTTTCTTTGTTTCTTTGTTTCTTTGTTTCTTTGTTTCTTTGTTTCTTTGTTTCTTTGTTTCTTTGTTTCTTTGTTTCTTTGTTTCTTTGTTTCTTTGTTTCTTTGTTTCTTTGTTTCTTTGTTTCTTTGTTTCTTTGTTTCTTTGTTTCTTTGTTTCTTTGTTTCTTTGTTTCTTTGTTTCTTTGTTTGTTGTTTCTTTGTTTGTTTATTTATTTGTTTGTTTATTTATTTGTTTGTTTGTTTGTTGTTTCTTTGTTTGTTGTTTCTTTGTTTGTTTCTTTGTTTGTTTCTTTGTTTGTTTCTTTGTTTGTTTCTTTGTTTGTTTCTTTGTTTGTTTCTTTGTTTGTTTCTTTGTTTGTTTGCTTGTTTGTTTGCTTGTTTGTTTGCTTGTTTGTTTTGAATAGGCTCCGAAACTACTGAATCGATTTAGCTGAAATATGGTGGGGAGGTAGTTTAGAACCAGGAGAAGGTTATAGGATACTTTTTATCCCGGTACCATTAGGAAATTCAAGATGGCGGATCCAATATATCGGACGAGCTTTGTAATTATGGTCCGATTCTATTCAAAATTGGTATCTGCGGGTTTTCGGGGTCGGAGATTTTAATTCTTTCGTCAGAATTTGAAAATTTGGGCGGAATTTTGAAATTCAAGATGGCAGAACCAATATGGCGGACGAGTTTTGTAATTATAATCCATTTCTTTCTTTATGATTATGATTCCTTCGTCAAAATTAAGAAATTCAAGATGGCGGATCCAAATTGGCGGATTTTGTAATTAGGATCCGATTTTATTCAAATTTGGTATCTGTTGGTTATCGGGTCGGAGATTATGATTATTTCGTCAAAATTAGGAAATTCAAGATGGCGGACCCAATATGGCGGACGAGTATTGTAATTATGATCCGACTCTCTTCAAAATTGTTACCTAGGTGTTTTCGGGGTCGGAGATTCTGATTCTTTTGTCAAAATTTGGAAATTCGAGACGGTGGAACCAATATAGCGGACGAGTTTTGTAATTATATACCGATTCTATTCAAAATTTGTGAGTGGACGTTTTCGGGATCAAAAATTGTAATTCCTTCGTCAAAATAAGGGAATTCAAGATGGTAGATCCAATATTGCGGAAGAGTTTTGTAATTATGTTCCGATTATATTCAAAATTTTCTTCATCTGAGGTTTTAGGAGTTGGATATCATGATTCTATCGGCAAAATTGCGAAATTGAAGTAAACTAAAAAGAAGTTGAAATAAATTGTAGTTTGAAAAACTAAAGAAACATGCTTTAAAAATATGAAAATATATATACAGTGTGTCCCAGGTAAGGATGTCTATCATGGGGATCTCGCAAACCATGAGAGATACGGAGATGGTTGAATGAGAGAAAAGTTTCGTATTTTCAAGCCTCACAATATGCGGTTTAGAAAGTTTTATAATTCCAAGTAGTTCCGGAGATATGCCTAAAAATCTGAAATTTGCCGATTCGCTTTTATTTTCTTCCGACGTTATGTGGAGAGATATAGGAAAACAAAACACACTCTCTTATTGTCACTTTTCAAGCTCTACAAAACAGCAATTGGAGATTTTCCGTACTACGTTTCGTTGTGGAAAAACCATCATCAACTTTATTTTTTTTATATGGCTCGTAAAAAAGTATATCCTGTATTGAATAGCATATTTCATTACGAATATAACTATGTATGATTCAATATGATTCTGCAATATTCAAATCGGAAAAGAATGTTTTTTATGTAATTTCTATCGATTCCCTGTATTAGACTATTACTCCTGTTTCGGAATAATAAATTGAAATCACGTTGTTGGAGATTTAAAAACTTTATTCATATACGTAGGTAGGTCACGTCATATTATGTTAATTAATTAAACAAATTAGTCGAGAACTACCTACTAAAAACCCAATAAACTAATTTAGATTATAGAGAATATTCAAACAAATTACAATTATTCTACAAACACAGATAACACCTATGTGTCGAATTTAAAACACTTCTCAACATATCAGGTGTGATGCTCTCGAACTCCTCAAGAACTAGTGTCCTAAGCTGATCGTCAGACTCAAATACACGGAGGTTATCATAATTTCTGCAATACCCACAGAAAAAAATCAAGCGGAGTGATACCTATCCATTTTTCCGAAAATCTGCTCGATAGATACTGCTGAAACCAACAGTTTCTAACCTCTGCAAGCGGTAAGTTGTCCTAGGCTCCTTCCACATCGCGTTTCAATTAATTGCGGTAATGCTCCAAGGTGAGGAAATTGTGAAAAAAAGAACCTATTGAATCTGTTTCAGAAATCCCAACCCACATATTTAAGAACTGTCAGATGACCTAACCTGGAGGTGACACATTGAAACACAACTTCACTTTTCTTATTTGTTTACAAATAATTGAAATAGTTTTTCACAATTATTTTGGCATATGAATCGTGTTTTTCGGCTATTGATTAATTCGCGCATCACATTGTGCTGTTGTCCAATGCACAAAAAATGCAGCAAGGGACGAAGGAATCCGGTTAGTACATTATGATTTAAAAGTAAGTACCCACTATAGTCACTAACATACATTTTCCATTTTGAAATCTGGTAATTTCTCTGATTTCTCATCGGATTTCCTTCTGCAATAGGAGCTAATAGAAATACTCGTGAAATTTCTGGAAGAATGCAAGAAGATTGGATTCATGCAATCAAGCGGTAGGACTGGTCTGACTTGCTGACGAAATATGATCGTGTGTGTTGTATACATTTTCAATCTACTAGCATTATTAGCTTCTATTGCAGAAGTAGCAGAGGAATTTTAATAAGAAACGATAAAATTCCATAATGAAAACTATGTGAGAATACTATTATCTGAAAAATCATATTCCTTTGTCTCTCGCTGCATTTTTTGTGCATTGTACAACAGCACAATGAGAAGGCATGCTTGAATTAATGAATAGCGCAAAAAAACTTGATTCCTATGCAATAATATTGTGAAAAACTATGTCAACCCTTTGATTCCTCTGTAAGCAAATGAAAAAAGGGAGGTTGTGTTTCAATGTTTTACAGAAAAACGAGAGAACAATCCTCGGACAGCAAATTCAGGTGCGCATCAAATTCAATTCGAGATGAGACTAGGATAATTTGGAAAGCAGATAAACAAAAACGCGTATTCCATGGTTTTTTCCTTTCTAAAATAAAGTGACAAATGTCATGCGTCTCGTGGATCAAGGTCATACTTGGGATTATATTGAAATTAGATTAGCCCAGGAAAAAACAAAAAAATTGGACTTGTTTTGAATCAGGGGATCTGAATATAAATTATCTCCGTTAAAATATACCTACCTCTATCCACTGACTTGGAAAGAACCCAGAACCTTAAATATCAGTACAGATTCATGGTATCCTCTACAAAAAAAACATGTTCAAGAACATTTGTTCATCCTCTGAACTTGAACGTGAAGATGAAGATGATGAGCTGAAGCTCAATATGTACATTGTTCGATAGTATTGGTCGATTCATAAGTAATTAGATCCTTCATTTTGTTTGAAAGTGTCTCCCAAAATTCAAAATGCTCAGAGATTGAAAATCGGGATCTGACGCAAGCGCACAAAAAATTATTCATGACAGTCATGAACTGTCTCAAACTAGTTCGTATAAAACGAAAACTCAGAACCTGTGGAGTACAAAACAGTCCTGGAAAAACGCGAACACTTTTGTGATTCTGCGCATGCTTCTTCATGTTTTCGGACTGTTAATTTTGTGAACGCGAACAAAACGATTGTCAGCCATTCAGTGTACTCGGGGATTATCCCGTGAACATTTTTTTTATCGGATAAATTTCTCTTGCTATTGATAAACATTTGCCGATCACTAATTTTACGAGAAAAACTGACATGAAAAAATTGTGAGACCGTAGGTCGAGCAATTTTGTCTGAGCAAGCAAGCTCTCGCGAATTTTTCACTACCTTAATTCTCGTTTTTTGCCATGACAATAAAACTTTCATACAATCAAGCATTTATTTATCGATAAAAACATTTTCTCTCGTGTATTTACCCCCCAGATAAAAAATGTACATCCTTTTTTATCAATGTCAAAATTTTCATCGTCGAAATCTTCATCGTCAAATAGCGTTTTCTGTGGAGGAGTTGATTCATCTGGTTAAAAATTCAATTATGTCCTTGAATGAGGGAGCAAACGCCTACTTTCGATGCGGTGAGTAGATAAAATTATTTTGACATTTTCTCAGCGCCATCATTTTACCGCCTACTGTACCAAAGTGTTCAAAATTTAATAAAAACACCTTTTTCCCGATTTAAATATTTGCTGCATCATATTGTGTCATACATCGTTGTATTCGTAATAATATATGCTGTTTAATATAGGGTATACTTTTTTTACAGGCCAAATAAAAACTTGAAGCTGATTGATGACTTCTCCGAAACGAAACATCGTACGGAAAATTTCTGAACGCTGTTTTGTAGAGCTTAAAAAGTGACAATGGGAAAGTGTCTTCTGTTTCCCTATATCAGTTTGAATTTCGGCTTTTTAGGCATATTTCAGAAACTACTCGACATTTTTAAACTTACCAAACGGAATATTCAAGTTCGATGCAATGCAATTTTGAATCCAACAATGCGCATGCGTCTATGATATTTCACGGCAAGTTTCATGCAAGTTTCGTAATAGAACCAGTCCTATTTTTCCTGGAATTTCAAGGCAACTTTAGTAAAATTTTTAGTAATATTCATCATAGCATCTTGATAAAATACAAATTTTCTCCATAACGTGGCCTGAAACACCAAAAAGTACATTGAAGGCTCAAAAAACCTGAAAATAGTGAATATGAACGAGAAAATATGACAGAATTATCTCAATGTACGGCGACTTGCAATAAATTGAGAAAATTGCGAGTAAATTGCATTGCCTCAAACTTGCCGAGAAATAGCATAATGTACGGCGCCCTTTATGCTTTCAATTTTATTGTTTCTCAAACATTTGTGAATGGTTTGTAGGTATCAAAATCACGATAGAACACACAATTTCATTCTAAAGGTCCAAATTTGTCACTCATAACTACTGAAACACAGTTGCCAGATGTCAAAGTACATTTGGAAATAACAGAAATTGTCAGAATCATGATTTATCACTTCTACTATGTGGAAAGATTCCTAGGTGCTATACTAATAATATTTCCCTCATACTGGTGATAGTTTTGTTTGAGTTTATGAGACTAAATCGTAATCAATTCACACCATGAGAGATTCATCAATGTGATGGTGCGTTAGTCTTGTGAACCATTGGGAACGCAATGACGTCAAATCTTTGTCATATATTGAAGTATAAGGAATGAACCATCCTGTTAACTTGACAGACCTTGAATGAAAGTGGGTATGTTGTTGATCGTGGGTTGGCATGAATCACAATTAATATTTTTGTTATTCGTTTGGTTTCAGGCACTGAAGAAAGCAACACCAATAATGGAAAGTACGGTAACAGTAGAGAGTCCTATTTCACCTTCGACACCTAGGTCAATTTTAGCTTCCAGCGATGAGGAGTATAGAACAGCTTCTGAAGGAGGTAAGTTGATTAATGCCTTTTTTTATTCATTCCTATTCAAATATCTCACCATTTGAGAATAGGGTCCCAGTAAGATTCAATCTGATATATGTCACTACACACAAGTCTCTGACTTTCGAGGGTTGCTTTGCAACTAAGCTGGCGGTTAAAAACACTTTTAAACACTTTTAAACACTTTCAAACACTTTTAAACACTTTAAACACTTATCCGCCTGCAATCAATCAATGTATTATTTATTTATACACCGAGGTAGTAAAGAATATCTGTACTAACCAGGGACCAAAATTATATCTGGAGGCTTCAGCCAAGGTGAATATTAAATGTTTTTCACCACTAGCAATACATTTGAATCATTTTTGTTCTGTGAAACTGAAATTTGAACCTATTGGCAAGGTGATGATTCCGATACGTCATATGGTGGGCACATTTGAACCAGTTTATCAGGGCATTCAAGGTCATTTTTGTTATTGTTTGTTATTTTGTTAATTTATTTGATATTTCATGTAATTCATTCTACAAATTACTTTCATTCCGTTTTCATGATTTTCTTGAGTACAGGACAAGAACTTCATATTGATTACCAACACAATTCTACATTATTTTATAAATCATGAATCAACATATCACTCAAAAATCAAGAAATCAACTGTGTTCTGTTGATGGTTGCACTAGTAAACTCAAGAAGTCTTTTCTGAACATGAAAAATCAGTTCAGTTGGATGGAAAAATGGATAATCGTGGAGCATCCAATGTGAATTTGGAAACTGGATGTATAAATATGTACCTACTACAAAAAGTTGAAAAAACTTTCTATATCCTTTACCTTTTTCCACTTTCATTGCTCCAATTAATGAAAACAAGGTAAAGTTGTGATTCATAAATATATATTATTACTGATTATTAACTATTTTTAGTGCCCATCTGAAAGAACATGATTGAAATGATCAACAGTACATATTTTGCATGGTAAGTTTCTGATGAAGTCTCCAGAAACTAGGACTAGAAAAAATAAGTATGTCCCTTTTTCTTTCAAATACCTATTGTAATAATGGACTTTTGAATTGCAATACAACAAACAACAAAAGTTTTATGTTGTGGAACTCCAGATTACTCAGATTTCATCAAAATGGTGAAAAAAAAAACTAATTTCACAAGATATAGATGAACACCAAATCTAGGATACCACCTACCTTAACTTGATGTAGGTAAGTATATTGTACTTATATTGTCCTTATGAAAATGAGTACACTTAATGTGGATACAAATCACACACATATAGGATCATGACAATTTGCTATTATTGTTGCAGTGGAGCACCATTCATGAAGAAGGTACCTGTGAGAGTTTTGCAGGTTTTCAATATATCTGTGGTGCTATAAAAAATCCTCCAAGATGCTAGAAGTAATCTTGCTGAGGTTGGGCCATTGATGATATCTACTATAAATTCACGGTAACCTCAGGAGCTGTTTTGAAGGATAATTCCAAATTTGCAAACATTATTCTACACATGACAAAATTGAAATTTTTGTGAGTTGAAACTTCTGTGAGTTGAATTGTTTCTTTCTTCATATTGGCTTAGAAAGGGCTTCCCTAGGGCTGCAGCTATGAGCATGCTGTCTGCATATGAAATATCTCCTGGTTTTGGTATGGAATGTATGATACCTATCCCAACATGCGTCTACCTCCTTTGCAGAGAGGGTTTATAAACGCCGAGTTGATACTCTCCCCTCGTAAGGGTACCTGCCGTGTTTCCGTAGAGACATAAAGGTGAATATCTGTCTATCTGTTTGCTTGAGAATGTATCTGGAAAGGAAATCAATATATCGCCTTCCTTACGAATATAAGGATCTGAATTCTGAAAAGTATACTCTGGTCAGTTTTCTTTGCGGATCTTCTGTTTGGTTCGTCTTGACTGGATGGTTTTCTCCGATTTTTGACAAGTATCAAACACTGCTTTTCGGATCTGCAACTAAACATCACATATCAAAATATCCATGAAAATTAAAAGTGATTTTCATGAGAGGTGGAACATGGATGTCGAATCTGAAACATACCTGAATAATATTTCCAACAAGCGTAACTGATGGATTGCTACATATTCGCTTTCCTTCCGAATTGCGGTTTTCCCAGTAGAAATCTGCTACATTTTCACTTTCGTCGGTTATAATAAGGACCATGAATGCCAAACAGTGTGCTGCTCGGATCTAAAACCAAGCATCAATTTGAAATTTGAATCGTGAGACGTACATAGAATATAAATCTATAAAGTCTGAATATTGTTTTCAACATTCGTAACTGAAATGCGATATATTTTTATGATTATTCATCAACTCTCTCAATGCAGACGAGGTAGGCAGATAAGCAACGATTTTCTCTGCAATGAAAAACACTGTATATACCTAACCCACCATGCGCCGACCTCCTTTGCAGAGAGGGTTTATAAACGCCGAGTTGATACTCTCCCCTCGTAAGGGTACCTGTCGTGTTTCCATAGAGACATAAAGGTGAATATCTGTCTATCTGTTTGCTTGAGAATGTATCTGGAAAGGAATTCAATATATCGCCTTCCGTACGAATATAAGGATCAGAATTCGGAAACGTATACTCTGGTCAGTTCTCTTTGCGGATTTTTTATTCGGTCCGTCTTGACTGGATGGTATTCTCCAATTTATTGACAAGTATCAAACACTTTGCTTTCCGGATCTGCAACTAAACATCACATATCAGAAAGTCCATGAGAATTAAAACTGACGTTGAATCTGAAACATACCTCAATATTATTTCCAACGACCGTAACTGGAATGCTTTATATTCGCTCTCCTTCCGAATAGTGGTTTTCCCAGTAGACATCTGCTACATTTTGAATTTCGTGGGTTATAATAAGGACCATGAATACCAAACAGTGTGCTGCTCGGATCTAAAACTAAGCATCAATTTGAAATTTGAATCGTGAGACTCACATAGAATATAAATCTATAAAGTCTGAATATTGTGTTCAACATTCGTAACTGAAATGCGATATATTTTTGTAATTATTCATCAATTCATCAACTATCTCAATGCAGACGAGGCAGGCAGATAAACAACAATTTTCTCTGCAATGAAACACACTGTATATACCTAACCCACCATGCGTCTACCTCCTTTGCAGAGAGGGTTTATAAACGCCGAGTTGATACTCTCCCCTCGTAAGGGTACCTGTCGTGTTTTCATAGAGACATAAAGGTGAATATCTGTCTATCTGTTTGCTTGAGAATGAATCTGGACAGGAAATCAATATATCGCCTTCCGTACGAATATAAGGATCTGAATTTTGAAAAATTCACTCTGGTCAGTTCTCTTTGCGGATCATTTGTTCGGTTCGTCTTGACTGGATGGTTTTCTCCGACTGTCTGTTTGCTTGTTAATCTGGAAGAGAAATCCGATTCAGACTAAATTCTTGCTTCATTACCGAAGTTTCCGCAATATTTTCATAATTTAACAATTATGCTATTTCGTATGATTCCACTGCTGAATAACCCATTTTAATTCAAAGATCGACAGAGATGTCAAAAAATGCCTGTTTTGTTTCCATGGCATTTCTGTGTCCCCAGCTATCTAAATGTTATTGGCAACTTTGATCCAATCCCAAATGGGTGAAAAATGGTTTTAGGAAAAATTTGCATACTATACAGGATGTCCGGAAAGGGAATGTTGTAAATGATAGGATTAATAGTGAGCCAAAATAATGTTGGTACTTCATATAAAAAAAAAGTATATCGCGCTTCGTTTCGGAGATATTGACCTTGAAAGTAGGATTTAAAAAAAAGAATTCCATGTATAACTTTCCATCTATCATTATCTTTTGAAATACTGAAAATGTAACAAGCACTTGAAAATATCTAATTAACAATTATTCTATGGAATGAAAACTATCGATAGTTCAACTAATTTGACTCTAATGAAGTTGAACTTTGAGGACTGATTATTTTTTTGTGATAAAATTGGACTTTGAATTAGGAGTTCAACAAAAATTCTATTTCGAAAAAAAATTATGAAAAAAAAGTCAAATTGGATGCACCCTGTTGAAAAGTAGTAATATGAGTTGAATAAACCTATCGAGTATGTATCGATTATACACCATGGTTTAAAAGTTATGAGCTGACCAGAGAAAGATTTTGCCAAAATCAAGATTACGTTCTGTATCACAGTTATAAAAGATGGTAGACACATCGATGTATGTACATTCTGACACCCTGTATAGCCAAAAAAAAAATGTTTTCATGAAATAATCTCGAATCGTCTTATTTTCTTCTGGTTTGCTCTTTTCGTATTATTTTCTTCTGAAAAAATACCGTTCTGAACGGAAAGTACGAAAATCAGAAGAGAGTATATCTTCATCGTAAAATATTCAACAAACGGTACCTTTGTGATTGTGAAAGCATATAAGGTAATGAAGTTGAAAGTAAAGATGGAAATATGAGGAAAACTTGAGAGAATTTCTCTCTACTCACCAGCGTGAAAAATGCGAAGCTTTGATCAAACAACACGAAACACCAGAACAGCACACGATCGCGATAATGTAATCACTGAATTGAATGAGGAACACAAAAACACAATTCTTGCACTTGAAATAGTAAAAATGTAACGAGTACTCGAAAATATCTAAACTATTTGACAAATTATTCTATGCAATGAATTCTATCGATAGTTCACTTAATTTGACTCTAATGAAGTTGAAATTTGAGGACTGATCATTTTTTGCAATAAAATTGAATTTTGAATAACGAGCTCAATAAAAATTCTATTTAAAAAAATAATGATGAAAAAAATGTCAAATTGGAAGCGCACTGTTGAGAATTATGCCAATTCATTAATTTTTTCCGCTCTTTGCAAATATCAAAACATATCTACAAAATTCTGATATATACAGTGTGGTTTTTGAAAAAGAAGAAGTTTTCTGTTTTTCCTGAAGACAATTCTGGATTCTAAATTTGATTCCTATTTAGTTCTGATGAATA